GAGTTGAAGTGGGGAAAGAAGAGCAAATGAGAAGTTGGATCAAGTGTGATTTGGGGAGGGTCAGAGCAAGAGGATCGGGGTAGGTAGGAGCCCTGCTGAGAATGGTCTGTATGACAACTTGGACTCAGTACTCATGTAATTATGTTAATATGTCCAAGGTCCATTAACCCCAAACACAAAACTCCAAGTACCTACATATCTCAGCCCTCTAGCCTTCTACCATTCTTTCACTGATAAGATGGAAAATGAATTTGAGGAAGTAACCATTTGACATCTCCTGCCAGGTGGGATGGAGATGGTCATGTGGCAAGAAATACAGTACATTCCCTACATACGCACGAGTTCCATTCTGAGAGCGCGTTCGTAAGTCCAATTTGTTCCTATGTCCAACAAAATTAGCCTAGATACCCAACTAATTAACAATCAGCTATATAGCACAGGATTGTAATAGGTTTATAATACTTTTCACACAAATAATACATAAAAAACAAACACAAAAAATAAAATTTTTAATCTTACAGTACAGTACCTTGAAAAATACAGTAGTATAGCACAATACCTGGCATACAGGGGCTGGCATCAAGTGAACAGGCAAGGAGAGTTACTGATTGGAGGAGGGAGAGGAGGTGGGAGATGGTAGAGCAGAAGGATCGTCAGCAATAGGAGACGGAAGGCAAGATGCAATTTCACTCATGCCTGACGTTGACGGCACAGGTTCTGGTTCCTTGCTGGATTCAATTCTATCTACCCTCTTTAAAAAAAGATCCAGTGATGTCTGGGTAGTAGCTCTTTTTTTCTCGTCATAGATGACACGGTAGCACTGGATTGCATTCTGAACGGCTGCTGCAACCTTTGTGTACCGTTCTGTGTTCAGGTCCTGTGTCTCAAAAACTAACAGTGCCTCCTCAAATAAAGAAAATCCCCTGCCATTTCCTGCGTCATGAATCTCTTCGGTTCTTCAGTTACTTCTTCCTCTTGTCTCTCTTCATCCTTTCTCTGGGCCTCCAATATCTGGCACTTCTTAGCAGTACCAGCTACATCACCGCTGCTTTTATGCTTGTTTCCAGACATCCTGGGCTTGAAATAAAGATACTGTACTCTATACAGTACTATAAAGTACACAAAAGCAAACCACTTGTAGAGGATGCACATACGTGACAACGTACGCCAGACACATGAACTAACTTATGTGACTGGACATGCAAACGCATGTTTGCATCTTTGAAAGCTCGCAACTTGAAGGTTCGTATGTAGGAGACTTACTGTACTGTGTAGGGAAGGTGCTTTGAAATCCAAATCTTGGGCCTTCCCCCACCTCCATCCCCCCATTCATTTAGGCTCCCTGTTTAAATACTAGTATGTAGCTTCCTCTACAGATAGCCACCAAGGGAAATTAACTGAAAGAGCATCAGATTAGTTTGTAGGAGTCTCCCTGATTATTTCTCTTCTGATGTATACAGCACCAAGGACAGGAGTGGATAGTGGGCATCATTAGTGAGGCAGAACTGTCAAGGGAGAGGAAAACTGCCTGGTTTCTGCCTGGAAAGAAACTGAATGGTAATTGCTATGCAATTTGTAGTTAATTGATAATCAAAGTGCAGCCCTACATGTGAAAATGATGCTTTTCTTTGGTCATCAGTAAAAAACTGGTTTCCTTTGTAGCAGAAAGGAAGACTTGCCCTAATAAAGTGCTGCTTCCTGGTTTTCCTTTGCTACCAACTGAATCTAGCTGATTGAAATAAGGCAAAGGTGAAATGAGCTCAGGAACCAAGCCTTATTAACATAGGGTTTCACTTCCTAGAAAACTGGTCCAGACCACTATTTAGGCGTTCCTATTCTGCAGTTATTCACTATTCCATCCACTTTTGTTTCACAGTCTTTTCTAAACGTTGTATTTCATAATAAAACAGAGTAAAATTATAAAATATTTGAACTTTACATACATAAGAGAAAATGTCTCCAATAACCCCAACCCAACAGACTGTATTGTACTCTTTCACATGGCATTTCCTTTTCTTGCTTTTTCCATATGGCATTTGCACTTTCTTTGCTTTTTTCACTGTTTTAGGCAAGTTCCATGAGTCTGCCCTATGCCACTGTTAAGGAAAAACAGCTTTTTCCCTTCCTGTGTAGGGAAAAACTTAGTTCTTTCCTAACATGTCTTCCCTCCCTGTGAGTCTCCTTTACTACTCACAGAAAACACTTCACTTCTGGGCACCAAACGTGTGCAAGCTTTTTCCCACAACAAGCAATTCTGTGACACCAGCTGCATGTTCTACAATTTCTCAATTCTGACACTGTGTACTTGGAAATAGCCTCAGATACTGCAGGTTAAGGGCTCAGTCCCATAAGACTGACCACTCTCCCCCAGCCATCCCTCCCACCACCACTTCAGACACCAGCTACAAGCTCAGGTTTTCACCTGTGCTTCTGACCAGCTATAGAAGTTCCAAAGACCTCCTCTCCTTGGGGTTGATTAATTTTCTAGAGCAGTTCACAGAACTCAGGAAAACACTTATGTTTACTAGTTTATTATAAAAGGACATGATAAAAGATACAGGTGAAAATACAGATGGAAGAGGTGCAGAGGGCAAGATATGTGGGAAGGGGCACGGAGCTTCCATAACCTGTCCAGGTGCACCACTCTCCCAGCCCAACCTGTGAGCTCTCTGAGCCCTGTTCTTTCTGGGATTTTATGGAGGCTTCATCACATAGGAACGATCCATGATTACTTCCAATTTCAGCCCTTCTCCCTTCACGAGAAGGGAGGGGGGAACGGGGGGGAGGCTGAAAATTCTAAGCTTCTGATCATGTCTCAGTCCATCTTTCCAGTGACCAGCCCTCATTCAGGAGCCATTCCAGGAGCCCACCCAGAGTCACCCCATTAGAACAAGACACTCCTACCACCCACAAAATTACAAGGGTTTCAGGAGCTCCGTGTCAGGAACACAGGTCAAAGACCCATATAGAACAAGAGATGTTCCCAGTGTTCTTATCACCATGGGGTCAGAGACCAATATCTATTTTCTATTATCTCACAGCCACTCTCTTCTATAGATTAAATTCACTGATCCTAGCTTCAGCCCCTCAGGTCACATATGACAAGCCTAATTCCCTGAGTCTTTAGACTATAAGAACATCTATTATATCCCTGGGACCTTCTGCCACCCCCCACCCCATTCCTCCAATCCCAACAAATACACTTCTCCAGACAAAAACCAAAACTTAAGACCAAAAAACCTCCATACCAGGTCTCTCATCTATCCCCCATGGATATCATTCTGGTCTCTAACTTTAGAGTAGCTTCAGATCTGAGCATCTTCCTTTAAATATGGTACCAAGATGGAAACATATTCCAGGTATGAACAAACTAGAGGAAGATTTTCATCAACCATCTCTTCCATTCTATATTCTCTTTACCACTTGAAAGACTGAAGATACTGCAAAGAACATGAGCTTTGAAGCCATAGGACCTGAATTTTAATAGTGGTCATCATTAGCTGAAATGTCTGAGCCGATTTTTGTTATCTATTTTTGTTTCATCTGTTCTCCCACAGCCATGTTATGAGAAAGAAATGAGCAGTTTGTAAGTGCTTAATACAGTGGACTTAATGTTAACAGTGTAAGCTAAGACCATATCTCTTGGTAGTCACATCATACTCTTTGTTCTTACTCAACTGTTACTATGTATTGGTCAGGGTTCAGAGAACCCTGACTGGTTAGTTTAGCAGAAAAGAATTTAAATTTTACTGACTTCAGAAATAATTTATACCGTGACCCAGTACACACATGCACACATAAATATATAACTCAAATAGTCTTCACAATATTTACCCATCTGACATGTTGTCCTCTGCTGTTTTTCTATTCATTTTTTTTTTAATGCTAGTTATGACCCACTGAGTTGATTTCATGACTCACTAATGAATCGTGACCCATAGTTACATTTCCAAAGTAATGGAAAACACTACACTGCAGGGTATTAAATGGCCTAGAGAATCACTAGAAGGACAGAGAAAAAAACTCTAACCTGTGTTTCCAGGAACTGGGTGGCCAAGAGAGCTGCCAGCTCCAGAAGCATTCCATCTGTGTGACCCACACCTGCAAAATGATGCCTTTTGAGTCTCACACTAGTGCACCTGATTGAAAAAGTCCTGGTGTAAAGGGGTTTGGAAAATGCAGAAAAGGAAAGCACACCAAGAAGGCTGCAATAGATGTTAATCAAGCTAATTCACGCTGCCGAGACTTACTCAAAGGTACTTGGTTTGGACAAACCCAGTGGCCTAAGCATCCCTCTTTACATCTATTGGTCCCTATTAAATTGTATATTTTCTTGGGTGCAGCCTCTTACTGCTACTTCAGTGAGGGAAGGTCACATAACTACAGTTTACTTGACAGAATGAAATTCAGAAGAACAAACCAACTGGAAATTCCCAAGTTACATTTCCTTTCACAAACACACCTCTACCAAGTTAACCTGGGGTCTACAAAAAAGGGAGGTTAAAAAAAAAAAAAAAAAAAGGATAAACCTAAAAATAAACTGAGGATTCTCTTCTTCCCACCCACACAAAGAATCTTAAGTTTAAAAAGACATCTTTTAGATCACTGAAGAGAAGGGACGAATTAGGAATAATTTTAACTTCTTTTTATTGTCCTTCAGTTCAGTTTATACAGTAATTTGTATCTGTGAAAGAATTCAGATTTATTGAATGAAAGGCATTGCTTATGATATATAAAGCAATTAAAAAATAAGTTACTGAAGGGGTAATATATAGCGAATTAAATAATACAGGTTTTGGGGTAATTGATGTGCATTTAATTTAAAAGAAACTGTGTGAGGTCACCACATAGATTTATATAACAGTTAAATGCAGAAAAACACAAGAAAGTAAGTTTCTATGTGATCCCAACAGAGGTATCCTTTCCTTGATCATAAGAGAACCCTGAAAACCCAAGTATTTTTAGAAGCTAAAACTGTTTACAGAAGTGCAAAACACCAAAACACTTTAAGCAAAGCCTTTATTTTCAAGGAAAAAAGTATATTTTCTCATTTTCTGTTCTTGTCATAAATTTTAATTATTTCCAGTGGAACCAAAACCTCCTGAACCCCTTTCAGTGTCATCTAAAACCTGAAAAGACATAAAGGTAGTAAGCCATGTAGTTAATTTCAGATGCTCTTTCAGTTCTCTCCAGCTCCAAATTTGTAAGACTTTTATTCTTGCTATAGCATTGTTTCAAAAAGGAGATTACAGAAAATTAAATTTTTAAAGTTTCATAAATTAAAATATTGAATAAGTTCCAAAAAAGCTAAGGGAACAGTAGAATTTCACAGACTATTTAAGTGGTTTATTATCCAAAGTAATGCTGTATAATAGCTATGGAAAACAATTTCAAGAAATTCTAAGATTTAAATTTTGCCTAAAATAGGACTAGTCACATATTCTACTTCAGATGGTCCCCAACTTAGGACGGTTTGACTTATGATTTTTTGACTTTATGATGGTGCTAAAGTGATTTGCATTCGGTAAAAACTGTGCCCCAAATATTGAATTCTGACCTTTTCATGGACTAGTGATATACGGTGTGATATTCTCGTGATGCTGGGCAATGGGAGCAAGCTGTAGCCACCAGTCAGCCACGCCATCACAAGGGTGAACCACTGATAACACAACTGTTCTGTACTCATACAACCATGCTATTTTTCACTTTCAGCATGGTAGTCAATAAATTACATGAGATATTCAACACTTCCTTATAAAACAGGCTTTGTGCTAGATGCTTTTGTCCAACTGTAGGTTAATGTAAGCATTCTGAGCATGTTTAAGTTAGGCTAGGCTAAGCTATGATGTTCGGTAGGTTAGACATATTAAGTGCATTCTCAACTTAAGATATTTTCAACTTATGATGGATTTATTGGGATGTAATCCCATTGTGAAGTCGAGGAAGATCTGTATTTAGTTACAAGTAGCATATTAAATCCTCAAAATTTTATTTTTCCTTCACTGAAGATGTTACATCATGTATTCCCTATTCAGCTTTTAGGATACTTACTTGAACTTCCTCTATTTCTGGGTAAAATATCCGTTCACAAATGAGCTGTGCAATGCGATCACCCTTTTTGACTTCAAAGGAAAAACACAAAACAATTTATTACTGATACTGATGCATTCTCTGTATCCTGCCTTGTACAGTACAATGAGAATTAGAGTAGTATGTGTTACTTAGACATACATAACTTGGAAAACTCATTGCACTTATGTGACTGCATGTATTTCACATACCTTCGAACTTTTCTTTGCCAAAATTAAACAGTACAACACCAACATTTCCTCTATAATCTTCATCTATGACACCAGCTGGAAAAAAGAAAAAAAATATTAGCTTGGTTTATGGTACCGAAAGATTAAGGGTATATGATTACCTCAGAATCATTCCTAAGTAGCTCTGAGAGTTTTATCCTTACAACGAATATGTGAATCTTACTCTGGTACTATGTAAAGCCTCAAAACTAAGAAATTACTAAAATGCAAATAAGAATTAAGAAAGTGGTCCTAATTTTCCAACCTGTCATCCTTACAAATGGTGACCACTACCTACTCTAAATTGGGAGTAGGCACTTAGCATCTCAGACAAGTCATCCTGAATTGCTCTCTCCAATCCTACTGTCTATTTGTGGCATACCTGTCCAAAAGACTAAGAGAAAATTATGATTTGGGTTTTAAAGGCTTCTCCTGGTAGCAACTTCCCACTAACATCCAGAATGAAATATGATTGAGTCATAAATAAAAATGTCAAAAAGCCTAAAGATCTGCAGTAGAATAAGTCAATGTTAAGCAGCAGTCTAGCAAATATCAGAACATTCCATTTTTATAATGAAAATGGAGCTGAATCGTTCAGTTCACATTCTTCTTCTCCTTTTAATTTAAGCGACCAGCCTTTCTCAGAGCATCATCTGTCAGAAGACATTAGCACATAAGCTTAATAATGAGTACACTTTTACACAGAACCGTGTGTAATTAGTACCTGTTTGAGATTATAAACACAAAGGCAGCAAATCTTTGCAGGAGAGAAACTTGAGCCAGAGAAGTACATTTACCAGACTTGCTAGCATTTATCTTTGGGCCAAGAATCCAAAACATTTCCATAAACACAAGCACAGATAATATAGGTGCACCAGGCCTTCTCATTTCCTTTTCTAATATTGAGAAATAATTCACAATTCAATGGCTCTTAGCATATTCAAAGTTGTGCAAACACGACCACAATCAATTTTAGAACATTTTTATTACCGCCAAAAGAAACCCCCTGCCTGTTAGCAGTCACTCTCCTACCCCCTTCATCCCCCTCAGTGCCTGTCTCCTTTTATACATGATAATCCTTTCCCCCCAGTTTGTAAAATGCTGGATAGGATTCATGTGAATCTAATTAAACGTAGCTCCATGTCACATCTTACAGCTTCTCATTAACACCTCACTTCTTTAAAAAACAAAACAAAACTCTTATCGAAGAAGAAAAAAGAAAATAAAAAGAATCAGGAATTTAGCTCAATGGGTACTAATGCTGGTTGGTCAGACTCATAATTATTTGAAGGTCAACTGAAAAAATTTTTTTTTTCTTTTTTAGAACAAGGGTAAGCATCCCCTTTCAATTTTCTCATGTAGGGGGAAAAAAAAGCAAAATTTAAAAAAGTTCCACCATGGGGAAAAATATTCAGAAAACCAACATTTTAGATTTTTCCAGTGGATTAGAGTAGTTTAAATGAACCCCTGTGGTTTATGCATGAATTACTAGGGGTAAGTGAAACTGAACTTAAGCACTTCTTAAAAGGTTCCTGATACAACACTTTTAAGAGTTTGAATTAAAGATCAACATATTTTTAACAGTGAGAAGGGTGAGTATAAAAGTGGCTGAAAGTGGTTCATATCATGTCTAGACTGAAGGAAACAGTATTCTTTTCTGATGCTACAGCAATAAAACTTTGACCAATTCAAAAAATACTGAAGCCTGGCATCTTTCCCCACTGCCAGTTGATCATTAAATTAGTCCTTGATATTTATTGAAAGAATGGATATAAAAATGAGACCAGCTGTTTTCTATATTATCTAGATGTAGAAAGTTTCAGCTGCAGGAACAGTTTAGATCAGAGTTAATGAAGGAACCCCTCAGTAGCAGGTCATTCCATGCCTCCCATGCCAGAACAAATGACCACACAAGGCCTTGGCATCTCCATGTGGGAGTGCTGAAGTACAGGCTAGCACTCATTCACCTAGAATGCATTGGATGAAGGCAGTGTGGGCTGACTTCTGAACTCTTGTTTCATTACACAAATAGTACGAATACATATGAAGTAAAGGCCAATAATGTTCCCCAATCCTCCCTCAGGTAGCCAATGTTACAATAATATATTTTACACATTTTCTTCCACCTAAAATATTATTGATATCCTTGGGCAGTAATATAGCTAAAAGTCATTCTTTTAGATCCAAGATATGGAAATACAGCACCATTATTTCTATGTAACTATTCTCTTACGTAACATCAGATATTCAGGTCGTTTTCACATTTTCCCCATAATAATCAAGGCAGTCCTTTACATACGTTCTTGAGTGTTAGTGTTTTTTATTTTCATCAAATAGTTTCAAAAAAGCACTTTCCTGGGTTGAAGGGTGTGTATATTTAAAATTTTAATGGATATCACTAGATAACTTTGCAAAAAAGGTATAGCAATTCAAATTTCTATCAGTGACACTTAAGAATGCCCATTTCCAAACTCCCTGACAGTACCAGATAGTAGCAATCTTTTAAATTCTGGCCAATGTGGTGAGTAAAAAATGGTATCTCATGGCTTTATTTACATTTCCCTGATGACTACTGAGGCTTGGCTTTTTTCCTCCTTACGTGCATTGCACCTCGTCCTCTTGTACATTTTATGATCAGTTTTGTTTTTTTCTTATCTGTTTGGGTACTTAACTCTTTCTCATATGACTTGCAAGTATTTATTTGTTTACTTTATGGTATCTTCTACAATACAAAAACACTCCTTTTTGTAAAGGCCTTTGCTATGTATCTGTAAAGTAGTCCTATCACACTTATATGTTTGGGTGTCTTGAATTCTGCAAAGCCAGATTATCTACCTAGATTTTATGCTTGGCACACAGAAGTTTGAAAAGTCCTTAACTAAAAGAAATGAAGTAATTTGAAGTCAATTTAAATGTATAACCAAAAAAAGGCCCTTCTTTTTTTTTAAGTATGAATGCCAATAGTATAAAAAAAATCTAATAGTTCTAAGTTCATTTATTACTTATTACTCAAAGGCAAACTGACCTTCAAGAAAAACACAAGACTTATTCCTTTTCTACGTAAGGGACATAAACATCAGGGATATTTCTCTTCATGAGAAAGCAGAAAGTATTTTGAAGTTATCACTGGAAAAATCATGCATTGGAACTGGCAGAGTGATTAACTGACTTCAGGCAAAAGTTTTACTGTGTCAAGACTTTGGCATGTCATTTGTTGGAAACCCTCTTTAGTGAAAACTATCCCCACCTACCAGATGTGAATTCTGAACGGAATCCTGCATACTCAACTTTTCCCTTTGACCCTTATTTACAGCCTGGGAATTCTAACAACATCCCTCTTCTGAAATAAAAACTGTGGCCAACTATGATAAACTTGTGCCTAAGAGACATTTCTAAGATACTATGCATCCAAGAACACACCACAATGTGATTGTGTGAATAATACCACACCAACCACCAGGCAAACTAACTTTCCACTGCTTTTACGTGAAATTTTTTCAAAGGATTGTTTTAAACAGAGCAAAAATTAGTAACAAAGTCGGAAAAAGTTTCCATTTAAAAAAAAAAAGGTCTGATAAGTCCCTAAGGGACAGGAAATATCAGATACATTATCATTCAATCTTCCCATCATTCAGGGACAAGCACACTAATTTTCATTGTTACAGGTACGGAAACTGAGGCTCAGAAAAGTTAAGTAATAACTAGCTTGTTAGTGACAAAGCTGGGGCCCAAATCCTGTTGTTATTCCAAAGTCCATGTTCCTTTCACAACCCTTTGAAATTTATTTAAAAATATACACAATCTTTTACATCCTTAAGTTATAGGCCTAAGTGACCATACTGACCTTGTAAAAGTATATTTGAAAGTCAAGCATAACTGAACCCAGGCAATCCTCAGCCCCCGAGGTCCGTCCGTCTCAGTCAAACTCTGCTCCTCTTCAGTCCCTAAGACCTACTTTTAGGCTCCCGACTTGCCCCACAGCACCATCTAGTGACGCCATGGGGAGACAGCCCAGGGACAGGCCTCAGCCACATGTTAACCCCTGAAGTGCAGGTAACAGTGAGCTAATTGAGGGCAGGGCTCCGCTGGTGGAGGGAAGGGGCAGGGTGATTCACAGTATTTAACTGCAGCGGAAAGAACAAGGGGACTGGAATAATATGGATGGATTCCAGTTTTTAACGTATCAACTTGGGCTCATTTTTTTTAAATAAATTTTTTCATTTATTTATTTTTGGCTGTGCTGGGTCATCGTTGGTGCGTGCAGGCTTTTCTCTAGCTGCAGTGAGCGGGGGTTACTCTTCATTGCGGTGTGCGGGCTTCTCATTGTGGTGGCTTCTCTTGTTGCAGAGCATGGGCCCTAGAGCGCATGGGCTTCAGTAGTTGTGGCATGTGGGCTCAGCAGTTGTGGCTCACGGTCTCTAGAGTACAGGCTCAGTAGTTGTGGCGCACGGGCTTAGTTGCTCTGCGGCATGTGGGATCTTCCCGGACCAGGGCTCGAACCCCTATCCCCTGCATTGGCAGGCGGATTCTTAACCACTGTGCCACCAGGGAAGTCCCAACTTGGGCTCATTTCTGAGCCAGTTTCCTGGTCTGTTAAAAAGTAGCTTTGTAGGGCTTCCCTGGTGGCGCAGTGGTTGAGAGTCCGCCTGCCGATGCAGGGGACACGGGTTCGTGCCCTGGTCCGGGAAGATCCCACATGCCACGGAGCGGCTAGGCCCATGAGCCATGGCTGCTGAGCCTGCGCGTCCGGAGCCTGTGCTCCGCAAGGGGAGAGGCCACAACAGTGAGAGGCCCGTGTAACGCAAAAAAAAAAAAAAAGTAGCTTTGTAAAAACGGCAAGAGGTGGAGGGAGAATTTAGCATACCCACTTATCCGAGGGCCAGGATGTCTTGTTAGAGAAGCACTCACTACAGTTGCTTAAATAATGATATAAAAGCTTTTCCTTTCCTTATAATAACAAACTTCCTTCTATGAATAGAGTCATTTTTGGACTAAATGCAGATTATCACTAAACCAAGGCAAAATCCTATCTGTCAGATAGTGTCTAGCTTATTAGGAAAATAACATGCATTTCACATAATGGTCATTAAAAAATTAGACATACTCAAATAGCATTTAAAACTATATCATAGTTGTAACTTCAGAGATAGAAATTTCTAAAAGGAAAGACACAACAAAAATCATTTTCTTTTCTTGATAAAAATAAAATTTGTCATTTGATTACTGCCTCTTAAGCAAAGACAAAGTAAACACTTGCAAATATTTACAGAATAAAAATGTAAATATATTACCTCCTACATCTATGAAGTGTTTTGCAGCCAAGCCAGAACGTGGAGCTACAAAACAAAAAAGGAGAAATTGACTGTCTTAAGAGGGAAGGGCAATACTTAATATAACTGACACAATTTAAGCATGTCAATCTCATCTCCTATAAAATCCGTATCTTAATCTTAACCTTAGCAGATGGCTCTGAATTAAAAATGTATTTATCACATTGTATTACCAAAGTAGAAAAGAACAGTTTAGAAAATGTTGACAAGGTTTAATTCAAAACCAAGTTAAACCACTCCAGCATGTCTTTAGGCAACTGAGGATCTATGGTGGTGAAGCTGTGGACTGCTGGAATGAACTGGGAGGTGAACAAGTGGGGAAAACTGTAGACAACACTGTCCAGACGTCTGGTCACAAAGGGAGGATGGTAGCTGGCAGACACATGGGGCAGAGGAAGAGGACTTTTATTTTAAGGTAGGAAATCAGAGCATGTTGCAGTATGGGAACAGACATACATGGGAACATGCAGGATGGGAACATCGTACTGGGAAGAAGGCAGAGAGAGAGAGAGGCATAAACGCAACCACAGAGTAGCAGAGCTTAGCCTAGAACTTGGAACTCCTACTCATAATTCAGATGCCAAAAGACATGTTTGTATGAAACAAATGAACCAGAGTAAGAAGCTAAGTTTATACCTTATTCTTGCTGACTTGAGCATCAGGCCTACCATTAATTACCCTAACTGCTAGTATTTTATTCCAGAATAACCTGTATCAGGCACTTTCTCAATAAATGCTACACCTTCCTGCCTTCACTGTTATTTCACCCCATCTCCTAACTGCCCCCCCCCCCAAAATACACTAAAAATGCAGTCAGTGCTGGCAAAAAGAGATGAAGAGAGCGCTCATCTCATTTTTCTTTTAAAGGCTGAAGTATTAGCAGTTCTCTGACTTGTCGCTAACAAGACTCCCCCAGGGATCACAGTTCCATTTGCTCCTTTATGTTTACTCTGAAATTAGTCAGCAAGTAATTATGTTCTTGAAAAGAAGTTTTAAACTCTTTCTATAGTGACAACTGACTCGGGGCAGAAAAGTCAAACCTGTTGACTTGACCTGCATTTTGTCCTCTCTCCTCCCACTGTGAGGCATTTCCCTCTAGTGCACTGAAGTGCATCCCTTACCTAGCACACCCCATGAGAGGATACCCAAAGGGGGAAAGGCTAAGGGGCCTGATGTTTTCAGGGGTTAGAAACTTTACTCTCATAAGATGCCATGTGCCATTATCCTGAACCTGCCTCTTTTTTCTTATAAAACAAATACCACCTTCACAAAGAAATCTGACTTCATATGCGATCTGATCCTTGAAGGGGGAGTTGGTATAAGACTGGAAAAAGCACCAGTTAAAAATCACCTATACTTTCAGTTTTTCTCACAGTGAGTAGTTGTGAAAACAACCTCCTGGGCCAATGTGAGTGTCCTAAAAGCTTAAGTAAGGAATTGAAAGAAAAAAAAAAAAGCAAAGCGATAGAGGCAAAAGTAGATATGTAAAGGAAAGTTTTCAAATGACTGCAGTTGCCATCACAGGTGGCACGTCTTTATTTTAGGACACAGGCCGAGCAATATCCCTTCCCTCATTTATACCCCAAATGAAACTAAGATGAAAGAACATATCACAAAGGAAGAGCCTGACAAAGAGTTACCTGTGTCTCAAATCACTTACCTACTCTCCCATAGCACCCAGAAGGAAGAGCTATCTGAATGTCTGTTTTCACAAGGGCTTTCTCCATAGGTGGTACTGTGTAATCATAGGCACTAGGAAAATAATGAAAGATAACTGGTATTTAGATATAGTAATTCTCTGTGCATTTTTTGGTGAAAGAGGTGACATGTAAATATATTCTCCCCTGAACAAAATTTTGTTGGCAAATTGAGGTAATTATTTAGCAGGAGGGGGCTGAAAGGCAGACTTTAAAAGGTATATGCTTCACTAACATGGTATGAAAAGAGGAAAATAAAGAACCAAGAAAGAAGGGTAGATAATAGCAAATAATAGCTAACATTTATTAAGCCCTTACTGTGTGCCAGGCACAGTTCTAATTGCTTTGTATAACTCATTTTATTCTCACAACAATCCTCTAATCGTTAGGGAAAACATGTAGAAGGAAAGGAGAAAATAGATGGCCAACATAAATGGTGGTGGGGGGGGGCCATTGGTTCAGCTGTGTTGCATCTGTTCTGGTCTTGGTAGTTTACCAAGCTTACCAAGCGGTGGCCATGAACTTCACTGGCTGAGGGAGAGAGCTGACCACTGTGAACAGGCCCTGGAGATGGACACTACTGAGGAACTGATTCTCTAAGGTCCACCCACCAAATACTGCTACTTTGTTACTACTGTAGCCCTCTCCTTGATAGAAATTTAAGAGATTTTACAATAAGCAGAACTGGAAGTTACTTTTGAGCCCTTAATTAAGACTGGTAAAGTGGTGCTATATTTTTACTTCTTTCATTGGAATTTCCTCTCTTGAAATAGTTAAAACTCTAATTTATCGAAGAGATATTTCCATGTCTATTTCAGTATACAGAAAGTCACCTGTGTTAGGAGGACGCTTACAAAGTATCTTAAATCGAAGTCTCTCCTAAGACTCACAACAGCGTCCAGATATGGTGTAGTCAATGTATATCACTCTACTTTTATTCATGAAAATAAAGGACTACAGCTTTCAGCCACAACAGTCGATACCTCACTTTTCTTTTTCCTTCTTTTCTCCCACTATCATCACATACTCCTTTCTTCCCTTCTGTGGTACTTATGACCTAGACCAGTGGTTCTCACATTAGAATTATCTGGGATGCTTTAAAATAAATCCTAAGGCTTGGGATTTAGTCATGTAATCAACACCCCCTCCTCCCCAATATCACTTTTGACCTACCTTAATGGTTCTAAGAACTGGGGACAGTAGTCAAGTGGAAAAAAAAAAAGCACTGAATTCAGGGTCAAAAATTCTATTATATTCAAGCCCTTGGGCAATTAATTCATCTCTTCACAAACTCCCACATCTGTAAAAAGTACCACTCGTCTACTTCAGGATTGTTGTTGAGTATTAAATACAATAGCACATGTGCCAGTTTTTAGTACAGGTAAAAAGTGCTGTACAAGAGAGAAGATGGTAGTATTACCAACAACCCTGCTTTTCATATTTGGACCCTTTTGGAAATTTCCAGTCCTTGGAGTGAACCTAAAATATGGACATATAGAGAAATGTTACTAACCCTTAAAGGTAGAAGCAACTTTCATTAATCTTTCTTAGCTACCTTATTACCTAAGAACCTAGGCTCCTACCGTGGCTTTTCTTTCTACTGAGCACAGCATCATTCTCAGGCCACTCCTTGAAGGCCAAAGTGGGCCTTCTTCATCTCTACTCTCCACTTTGAAAGGGTGCAATAAATGTTGCAAAATAAATAACACCTGGGCGGACACTCACTGGTATTTACCACTCCACACTCTGCCCAAATCCGTATTTAATTTATGCTAAAGAGGAAAGCTAAAATTTTCAACATTAAAAAAAGGCAGAAACCCTATGTAATGCAAAAAGCGTTTGTTTCTGTACTTTTAAGCGGCTGTTTCAAGTTTTGGCAGCAGCGGGCTGGAATGTAAGCTAAGCTGAGAGCGCTATACTTCGGAAACTGGGACTTCTCCGCGAGAGGTAAGGATGACGGGACAGAAGGCGGCCCTCTCAGCCTCTTCGCCCGGGCCGGCCTTCCTCGGGGACGCGGGCGGACAGGGTGCCCACTCACCTGTATAGGTCATAGCCCGCGGCGCGCTCGGACCCCTTGGTCGGAGCGGTGGCGTGCTCCGAAAGCCGGACAAAGCGGAGCCGCATGCCGCCCTTCTCCGCAGGCCGGGCCCGTTTGCTGGGGGAGATGACTTGTGCCTCTTGAGAGCAGGGCATGGCAGGGCAGAACGTGAGCACAAAGGATCAGGCGGAACAAGAGACAGCAGGATGAGCGCAGCGCACCAGTTCTAAACTTCCCGCCGAAAACTCCCCGCCCCGCCCCCCTTACCCCTCCGGACGAGCCCACGGTTCTGGCTGAGAGGGGAGATGGGTCTCAAATTTGGGGCTGGAAATCCTCCTCGGAAAAGATCTGGGAACAGAAAGTACTGAGCCTTTTCAAGCTTTCCAAACTCAGTGCATGGATCCAAAGTTAGTGGCAGCTTCTCTGGCCTTGCCCTCACCTCAAAATAGAAAACCATTTCCCTTCCCCATGAGGGGACGCGAATGAACTCGTTCCCGCGCCGCTGGGGCTGCGGTCCCTCCCACTCCCCCCCAACGCCCAAAGCCCAAGGGCTTCCTCGGGCCCTGCCTGTTGGCCCGCCCCATCTGCGGCCAGGGGACGGACGCGGGGTCAGCCGGCCGGCACCCAGCCTCCCCACGCCGTGTCCTTCCAGCCTGGGCCCCGACATTACTGGCGCTGCGGCAACCTCGGCTAAGACTGCGGGCGCTGGTCAGCGGCCGGAGCGCCGGGAGCTACACGTCCCCCCCGCGGGGTGGGATCGAGGGACGAACCTGGCCTGGAGGGCACTGCGGCCTCCGTTCTCGGTCTTGCCTGGCGCGCGCCGTTAAACACAGAGCGGAGCAAAGACGGAAGGAAATGGTAGCTGAGCACTGGGCGAGGGCAGAGGTAAGTCATTTGCCCGGGTTTGGGCGCAGGTTGGTGCCGCTACTGCAGGCGCGCGCCAAGTCTGCACCGAAAGACGCGTCCCAGTTAAATGACCTCGGAAGCAGTAACCGCCGCCGTTTGACGAGGGGCGCACGGAGGCGGCGCATCAACAGCCCTCGGGCGGGCGTAGGCCCGGGTCCTCCCGGAAAGCTGTGCACTCGGCGTCCTGAATCTCGCTGCTGCCTGCGGCTGCCTCTGCCTCCCTCTGTCGACTCTCACCTTTCATCTGGCGCTGGTTTTCCGAGGTCCGGGCCCAGCGCTCTGTCGATTTACCTGGGGCGGTGCAGCCCGCGGCCATGACTCGCTGGCTTCTAATCTCAGGGGCCCCAAAAGCGACGGAACCGCATCACGATGCCCGTGACGGTCACCGCTCAGTGCTGCGCCCTAGGCGGTGGGCAAGGCAGCGAGTTCGATTTCCTTCCAACACTGAAGAGTGCAAGCTGGAGTGTTGTGGAGTGTTGTTTATTCTCAAAGGGGGCGGGGGACACAGTCTTGAGGATAAACCACAGGGACATCTCGGTTGAAATCCTAGCACTCTTTCGGATGACCCCACAAGAGCACAGAGGAGGACCCCTGTAACTGATTCGAACAAAGGTTCCGGGCCACACTGGTATAATTTACAGTGGGGATGAGTAAATAACTTTTCAGGTAATTATAAATTGATTTTTCTAGGATACGACTATCTCCACTTACCTCTGGAACTGACGCTAAAATCTCAAAACTAAATTGTAATGCATTTTGTCAACAGAAATACAAACTATAGGGCAGTTTTAGGAAAATGACAAATAAAAATGTTAGGGAATTGTTGGGGAAGTTTTCAGACTTCCTGGCTGTGCCTTTCCTTACAGGCCCCACCTTTTCGGTCTCCTTTACTGGCTCTTCCTCTTAAATGCTGGAATTCCTCTGGGCGAGGAATGCTCTATTTACACTCTTCACCCATGGCTTTAAATATCTGTACTCTGAGGACTCCCCAAATTTATACCTATAGCAAGGTGATCTGGGCCCTCCTCTTCAACCTTCTCTAGAGCCTTCTGGCTCACGCCTGTTGCTCCTGGCCACAGTGGCATTCTAACAGTTTCTAGACCCACCAGCCTTTCCTGCCTGGGAGTCTATACACATCCTTCCTTGATTTATGCTCCATGTGTTTCAAGTCTCGCTCATCTCTGAAAGAACTTTTCTGACAAACAACTGACGTAGCTGCCCTTTGTTTCCCTCACCACCATTTTCTAGCACACAATCCGTTTTTTTCTATTCACACCACTTGTTACTACAATCTATCTCTTCTATGTATTTATTTTCTTGTTCATTGTCTATTTGCTCTAGTAGACAGAAGCTCCATGAGGGCAGGGACCAAATGTGTCTTCGTTCACCATTGTACTCCTGGGGCCTAGCTTAGTGCCTGGCTCAGAATGTGCTTGATAACTATTTGTTGTATGAATGAATGAATGATAAGAGATCTCATTGCTCTTCCATCGGGACCCTGCATATGATCTCAGAGTCTTCTGATTCTTCCGGACATTCCTTTAATGTTTAATCAAAAGTTTGTTCCATATAATGCTTTTTCAAGGTCTACACTGAAAAACATCAATCCCTTCCTAACCCCTCCACAAACACCCTTCCTCAACTCTCACTCCTCAGGGGCAATACTTCCAACTTTTTTTGGCTCTTTCTATTGGAATCTACCTCCCTGTTTCTAAATTATATGTTGCTATTTATTTTTTTAATGGCATAGAAATGGCCTTCTGAATTAGAGTAGTTGAGGATTAAGTCTCTTAACCCCCTCTCCACCCCATTCTGCCAATAGTTTCGTAACAATTTTTTGTGTAAGTCAGCAGTTAGTATTTACTTTATCATGACTGTTAAATATCGACTTCAGAGACGAGTAATATGATAGGAGTATTTCGTTTTTTTACACCTGTCCCCCTCAAGTTTATAACTGCCTTATTTTCCTATTTTTATTGGTAATGGTGTTTTTCATTCACCCATTGCTTGTTTTCTCCAAATGTTCCAGGGATCCTATACCTTAAACATCTATCACATCAAATGAAACACTGAAACTTAAATCCTCTATCAGTTCAGATTTTCCCTCCCTCACTCCTCTATTCTGGTCTGTGCAAGTGACCCTCTAGTCCTGCTGAATAACTGTTATCCTGGGACTTCCCTTTGCCCTTATGTTGGAGCCCTGGTTTTATGGATCTAGTATCTTCCTTTTAGTTTACTTCCTCATTTTGCTGAAGTACTTTCTCTAGTAATTTCCTAAGGAAGTTTGCATTAAAGATAGTTTGAGTCCTTGCATATCCTAAAATGTAGTGACTGTAATGACTCCTTTACCCAGACCCACGAATGAAGTGAGCTTCATTCGTGAAACTTCTTAGAACCAGTAGTGAGATCTGCCTTATCTTTTATAACACTTACCATATCATTCATTAGCTATATACTCCCCTTGTGTAATCATCTCAACTACATGCATTTATCTTTCACATTAGTAAAAGTCATAAACTTTTATGAATGCTTTGAAGCACCTACTTCAGTATTTTACACTGGAAATGTTTTGTTTGGCTCCTTATAATAGCTAACAGCAAGAAAGTATTAAGCTATTTCTTCTATTAACGTGGAGACTGAAAATTATATTGTTGTCACTTTTCATCTGAGTTTATTTTAGATTGAAAAGAGAAAAGGGAATAATCCAGCTGGAAAAGAGTAACAGGTTAGGGGTCTGAACCACTAAGCGTTTAAAGAATACTCCTTATGACACTGAATTATAATTTTATATGAAAATACACCTTAAATTCAAGATACTACAGTAAAGAAGAACCAGACATGTTTATTTCGTGCTGTATATTGATCAGAATATAATTATCCTATCAGTCATGCTGATAATTTAATTACTTAAATCTTGTGCCAGAGTGAACCTACTGAGAATGCAAATCTGTACTTTCAAGCAAAGTTGTCCTTCCTATCTTTGCCATTTTAGGGATTTTTCTCTTTTTAACAAGGACATACATGGTGATTACTTTATATTCCAGGTATATTCTAAGTGCTTTATAAATATTAACTCATTTAATCACAACAAACAGAGAAAACAAATGCTATTACTATCCCCATCATACAGATGGGGAAACCAAAGCACAGAGAGGTCAAATAATTTGCCTAAGACCACACAGCTCACAACCAGAAAGAGATGGAGCCAAGAGTCAACTTCAGGTAGTCTGGCTTCAGAGTCCTTGCACTTAGCCACTCTCTGGGTTTATATATGCCTAATGAGACTATGACAACTCTTCTTAATACTGAGCCTGGCCCTTGTTCTCCAGGTCTGGGAAAGATGTGTGTAGAAAATTAACCAGACATTCTTCGTTTCACAGTTGACCGTGGCCTCCTTGTTCAAACATTTCTTCACCGGGACATACTCTGGTTTTCCTCCCACATCACCTGTCTCTTCTCAGTCTCTTTTCTATCTCCTCTTCTCTTTTCAACCTTTTCTCTTGTTCAAGATAAAAAGCCTTAGAATCTTGCTTCCTCCCCTTTTCTCTCAGATCTTCCCTTATCTAAAAATAGTCTTCTTCTAAGCACCACCTAATGCTTTACCCTATTTGATTTTTCTTCATAGCACAATACTACATGAAATTATGTACATATTTATTCATTTCACTTGTATGTTTCTTCCACTAGCATGTAAACTCCATACTGGATTTAAATCTATCCTAATTTGGGCTCCTTTCATATGTTCTCTGTTTGTTTTTACCCCTTGTGCCTTTTAAATTTTATTATTTTTATTTAAATTAATTTAATTATTTTATTGTTTCACTTTTCCCTCTATTAGAAGTTTTACTCTCTGATTCTGTTGTTTCAGATAAATTAAAACACACATGCTTAATTCATGAGTTTCAAAGATCTAAAACAAAATTATTATCTTTCTTCTGGATAACATAAGGACCTTAGAATGCTTTGACTCCATTAATTTTTCTTTTGGCATATATACTATTATTGTCTGGTATTTTAAACATTTTTTTTGTTATTTCTGACATATACATTTTAAAATAATAACTACAATTATGACTTATAACATTATACCAGAACATATAAGATTTTTTTTTTTTTTTTTTTTTTTTTTTTTTGCGGTACGCGGGCCTCGCACTGTTGTGGCCTCTCCCATTGCAGAGCACAGGCTCCGGACGCGCAGGCTCAGCGGCCATGGCTCACGGACTTAGTTGCTCCGCGGCATGTGGGATCCTCCCGGACCAGGGCACGAACCCGTATCCCCTGCATCGGCAGGTGGACTCTCAACCACTGCGCCACCAGGGAAGCCCGAACATATAAGATTTTTAGAAATTTCATGTAATGTCTGAAACATTTATATTAACATATTTCCATACAAATAACCCAAAGAAAATTTAGTACTACTTGTTTTTTGTTTGTTTGTTTGTTTGTTTTATACTGCAGGTTCTTATTAGTCATCAATTTTATACACATCAGTGTATACATGTCAATCCCAGTTGCCCAGTGCAGCACACCACCATCCCCACCCCACCGCGGTTTTCCCCCTTGGTGTCCATACGTTTGTTCTCTACATCTGTGTCTCAGCTTCTGCCCTGCAAACTGGTTCATCTGTACCATTTTTCTAGGTTCCACATACATGCGTTAATATACGATATTTGTTTTTCTCTTTCTGACTTACTTCGCTCTGTATGACAGTCTGTAGATCCATCCACGTCTCAACAAATGACTCAATTTCATTCCTTTTTTATGGCTGAGTAATATTCCATTGTATATATGTACCTCAACTTCTTTATCCATTTGTCTGTTGATGGGCATTTAGGTTGCTTCCATGACCTGGCTATTGTCAATACTGCTGCAGTGAACATTGGGGTGTATGTGTCTTTTTGAATTATGGTTTTCTCTGGGTATATGCCCAGTAGTGGGATTGCTGGATCATATGGTAATTCTATTTTTAGATTTTTAAGGAACCTCCATACTGTTCTCCATAGTGGCTGTATCAATTTACATTCCCACCAACAGTGCAAGAGGGTTCCCTTTTCTCCACACCCTCTCCAGCATTTGTTGTTTGTAGATTTTCTGATGATGGCCATTCTAACTGGTGTGAGGTGATACCTCATTGTAGTTTTGA